CTCTTGATTTTTAGTTGTCGCGCTTCAAACGAAAATAACAACATTTATACATCAAAAGCCCAACCAGATGAGTGTAATCGCTAGCATACATATTCATGCCCCGTAGATTTGTATTAGGAATCAAAGCTTGATCGTAAAACATCGTAAATAGCACATTTTACGAAGCTCTCGCCACAATGCAAGCGGCTTGGTTCGGATTAGCATACTAATACAGTGGCCATCTTACCCCTTATTTATAGTATCCGTTCTCTCTTAACCTCTAATAGTCAAGGGCCTAGAGCTACATTATTCGCACTGATTTTTTTTGTTATCTCATCCAACTTAGTGCCCAGAGCTCTGGAAATTATGTATATATTATAGTGTGCATAATAATAAACAAGCAGCCTCTCGGCTGATATCATCACAAAATGAACAAATCTGAGAGAGGTCTACCTGAGGTACCTATATGTTTAATGTCAGAGCAATCAGACTTACGGTTTTGTACAAGAAGTCGAAAATATCACTTTTTACCAAAAATAAGAGAGATCCACCTAATATCAAAGCAATCGGATTGGAACAATGATCAAAGACCAGGTTTTATTATTAGATAGTCAAATTTGGGGCCATTTTGAAGGAAATGGGCGCTTAGACAAAAGTGACTCCAAAAATAAAAATGTCTCAAAAGTAGAAAGTGGACGTTTAGTTGAGCATAATATAGTGAAACGGAATGAGAAAATAAGTTACCAACAACACTTACCCCATTTTGCTTCTTTATCAGCTTTTGATGCTTCAATTTCAGACCTTTTTTTAAATCGCAATGACGTATATCTATATTGCCTGATGAAAGATAGGGTTATGTGTTGTAGGTCAAAGTTCATTTGCCTAGCATTACACTTGACCATACAGTAAATGCATGTTGTCATAACAAAGGATGTTCATCGTAAGCATTGATCAATAACATATGTATGCTGTCAAAGTTTTTTAGTTCCGAAAAACATACCACTTAAGATCTAATTCATTTTAAAAACTTGTTTTGGCAGGAAGAGACACTGAAAGGCACTGAGCCGTATTTTGCCATATTATTATATGGCAAATCAGGAAAGCAGTGTGTAGACCAGTGTACATTGTCAATCTCGCAATAGTATTCTAAATGAGAAAATGTTTGACTGTGGGAAGGTGAATGGGTGGGTCTGTTTCAACTTGAAGCTCCAAAAAAGTTGTGATACAACATACATGTCAGCATACCATTCTTTAGGCAAAAATGAGAGCAGACATCTTAGTTTAGTATCATCAATCATGTGTAATAAAGTTGAAAATTAACTTGAGTTAGTTAATCTTTCACATTTTACTGTTGCTGTAATCTATCATACTCGCCATCAACAGGACAATGGCACATATGTTGCACAGTAAAAATGACAAAAGAATTGAATAAATAGTACAGTCTTATCAGCAACATTGAACATTATTGACCAAGACTGTTTCAGGAATACATTTTCTGAAACACTTTGATGTAAACTTTTTCAAATAACCTTTGTTTGATTAATTATATTATATGAAAGGGTTGGTAACTCAATAAAGATAACACTGGTATATCCATACCCTACATTGATATGCCACAAAACTTATCCAAAATTAAACATTTAAATATTTCAAACAAACAAACAAATGAATGAATTGATACAAACTAATGATGCATGATCTTTTCTTCGCATGCTAAATTGAGTATAAAAGTCCTGAAACAATGCCATAATAAATGCGAAAAAATACTGGCTAACATTTAGATGAGAACAATTCTGATCAAAAATAGACAAGAAAAAATGCAGTCATCATAAAAAAAATAATATTCAAGTCCCTCGAAATAAACTCAATGTCCTTTACAGACTAATGAACTGAATATAAACTATATTTATTTAAGCAAAATAAAATCATAGACAGATTTGAAAAAGCTGTGAATTTATACCACTAACAACATTTATCTAATCAACACATTTTAGAGATCATATTACTAACAACTGGTTCTCATTATCAGCAATATAAATGCCTTTATTCTGTCCAATTATTTCAACAACTAACAAATGTAGCCAAATTATACCCTATTGCTGGAAAATTGCACTTGCTAGTTACACCAAATTGGAATCTTTCCTTGTGGTTGACAGGAATTTTAAATTTGAAGATGATCAGATAAAAATTGTGTCAGTTATTGTAACCACAAAAAGACAATTTTAAGTGAAATTTAATGAATATCTTAAAAAATATACATACAACATGAACCATAATCAAATTTGGCCAAGATCCTAACTGGTTAATATATAATACATCATATACAAGTTTGAAATAAATAGAATGAAATCTGGTTGAGTTATTACAACAAGAATACAATTTTATGACAGAATCAACGATGACACTGACAACATTTTGCTTCATCTAGGATTAAAGGAAAAAAAGATAGACGATAATAGTTCATATGAATTAATAAAGACACTTACTTTGGTTTATATAGACTATTTGGAAGCCTTTTAGTCTGTACTTTGTGACCACGTATATATACCTTCATCTTAGGCTCCACATAAAGTACTGCTGAATATGCTCGGAATGACCGCCTTTCAAGATAATCTCTAAAACATTAACCATTAATTGAAACATTAACCCTTACAAAGAAATAACTTTTATTGCCAAAAATTTGCTTGAAAAAAAAAAAATGTGGGTCAATTTAATCTTTTTACTCATTTCAATACTGCATGGTGCAGCTGATGAAACCTGCAAAATTCGTACCATGTCAATTATTATATCATACTAAAAAAGAAATCACCCTGACTGGCTCATTAAAAACCATTTGAGCAGAAATTGACAGGTGCTG